ACCCTGTATATCGACTTTTGCCGATATTGTGTTTGGTAAAACACGATGTGCACCAAGAACTTTGCCGTTTTTTTTTGAAAAAAGGTCGACATATAGCAAAATCCATAGTTTCCCAATTTCTATTATTCGGCTATTCCGTCAGTTTTGAATAAAAGATCTGGTGGTGTCAGTAGACTTGGTAAGCAATTTCGGATCGGTATCTGTTCAAGTTCGTTACCTCTGGAACTTATTTCTACTTAATTCGTTAGGTGAGGTTGCTACCGTGTTAGCGGGATTGAAGACTATCTCATCTAAGTCGGTCTCCTATATCTCAGGGGCGAGAAGCTCAAGTGGTACATGATTAGTATAAGACCATGAAATCATAGAGATGTATAATATATAAGGAATTGAGGAAACTTACTCTTAGCAGCGACACGTTCTCGTAGCCGTATTCCTCGCAGTCGCAATTGCCATCGTTGTTGTCCCTTATGAGGAAACATTGCTCTCACACGTATCCTACACTAGGATATCGTTCTCCTTTACTTAGCTCACCTCCAATTCATTATCATGATAGAAGTTCCGATATGTAGTAGGCATGGTTTGCTCAAGCCTTCAAGAAGAAAATCATTTTAGAACGACTAACCCAGAAGTGGCAGAATTCAGCAACACCCATTTATACAAATTTACAAATATAGTGCACCCCGATGCAAGTTTTCAATTTTTATTGGCTTTACCTGCTACATATTTTGACCTTAAGGTGGCTGCTTTCATAGTCCGTGGCCACTATGACTGGCGCATGGAACCGTGGCACCCAATGTTGGGTGGCACCATGTTTTTTCTTTATTTGCACATTTGAAAATTATTTAACACTTTCATATTTATTAACAAGCTTCATGTTATTTATACTCAACATGGTCCACGTGAATGTTTTATAGGGCTTATTTATCACAAAGATATATAGTCAATGGAGTGGTACTGAAAAGGTTAGGTACTTCAGCAAGATTTGTGTGTGCCCTGGAAGTATTGGAGGCAGTACTTAGAACACCTAATCTGCGATTATGTGGCCGCGCGTCGATCTCTTCATCCTCGAGTTCCTTGGATGTTGTACGAATCCCTACTGCTTACACTTTCACCAGAATTCTAACCTACATTGCTTCCAAATGGCATGGCACCCTCCGGTGGGTGCCAGTCGCGCAATAAGGGAAGGGGGCGTGGTCCTTTGGGCGCAGTCAGTTCGAAATCGGCATTGTCGTCAAAGGGTATATCTTAATGAAAGTAGTGGCATTAGTTTTGAAAATCGGTTGCCGTCAATTTCAGTGCAGTATAGAGTGTGCGTAATTCAGAAGTTCGTCACTGATGTCATTCATTGATGGGAGCGATCTCGTAACAAAAAGAATGAACCAGTGGGCAACCCTACACCTGTGTAAAACTACTATATGTTTTACCTTTATCTAAGTCGTCATAAGATTAGATCGATTACACACGAGTAAACTTCCGCGTGCAATGAGTAAGCTCATCATCCTGCAATTCGATGTTTATAGAGAACGGAAAAGGGGGCAACCTTATGGATATGGCTCTACATCCTTCCTTGTTATTATTTTTTTTTGATCTCTAGCTGTGAGCTGGAGCACCTTCTGGGTTTTCCGTGCTGTGGTCTTCAATTTTAGTAATAGGCTGATGCATATTTATTGCGGATTTTTTCGCGGCTTCTTTTCTCTAGGTATATTTGAATATTGGATTCGGGATTGAATAGAAATAATCTTCTTACTTTCCTTAGTAGAAATATGTTTAGAAAGTCATCTTCACATACGCCACATTATGCCCTATTACTTCGAGAAAGGTTGGAAGATGATGGAAGATAAAGTGATCTCAACGAACTTCTCGGCGATGGAACAAGCAGCCAAAGCCGAATAAGGAATGGAGTCTGCTTCTACGTTCGCCCGAATCACCACCAGAAACTAATGTGGATTATCACATCAATCGTTAGTTGAAAAATTTGCTAGCGAACAATTCTTTCGACGAAATGGACATTTGATGGCCGAGTCAAGGCGTGATCGCCTCCGAGAATCGGAACTTCTTCGCTTGTGAAATCCAAATTAGTAGCAGTAAATGGGGAGCAGTGCTTGACGCAGGCGGTGGATATGTTCCGGAGTAATTATTAACATGTCTTTGCTAAATATTTCTACTGTTTCTTCAAGCGAAATCTGCTGGAAAAAATCCAATAACTATGTATCAACCTAAAGATAGCTACGGATACTGTAAATGCCTCAACACCATGTGATAAACTCGGTTCATGCCCAGGGATATTCGACTGCGACTATTTAGAATCCCCTCCCCCCCCAAGAGTTCTGGTGGCAATAGCTAAAGGCAAAAAATGCTCAGTTAACAGTGTTACATGATACGTTTCGCTTACCGTTTCTGCAATATAGAACACGTACGTTTTCCTTATCATATTATTGGTCATACTCATTGAGCTACGCACGCTAACGGGTGCATGACATGTCTCTAACAGCTTAACCAAGATCTTCCTTGAGTAGAACTATGTAATGAGAAACAGTCACCAGATCATCGACAAAAAGGAGAAGCTGTGCTCCCACTCAATGACGTAATAAAATGGTCCGGAATGGTTAGGGGATCAGAAGAAAAAGAAACGGTAGTTTTCCTCTCTCATACCTGCTACCTCTCCGCGCTCACGTGACGTTTCAGGATCCTCATCGTGCCTGGATGACTTTCCGCGGACAGACGCACAAGTCGACATACAAACAGACATACAAAGTTAGGGCTTTATATATACAGAGATTATTGGTAAAGGCCTAGCCTGGTCTTATAGCAGAATCGAAAAGCAGAGAGTAGAGACATCCTTATTGCTAGGCCTTCACCACCATTGAAATCAGGTTGTTTTCCTCATTGGCTAGATTTTTAAATAGGAAATGGTATTAGTCCTCCTAAGCTTTCCCACGTGCCCTTGATTTGATCAAGGTGTTTGTTTAGACTGTCAAATTTGAGCACCCCATTTCGACAGTAGTATTCAGTAAAATAGTCTTCATCATGGCGACTGCTTAGAAAATTTCATAGATCTAAGCGAAGTTGATTATATTTGGCAACGAGGGGTTTGGGTGGAGACGAAAATACGCGCTCTCTACACAAACCCCTCATTCCCCTATCGTAATCCCCCTTCCACCTGAAAAAGAGCACTTTTTCAGAACTGTGTCAATGAATTTTGTAAAGATTTTTTATCATTATTATGATTGTGAGGCAAATCAATCAAGAAGGAAATGAATCAGATCTAAGGAGCGATTTTGTGATATCGAATAAACGTGTGTTCCTGCATGCCGTGCGTCAAGGTCTCCATATTAAGCCGGGCTTGTAACGTATTCTTGTCCAACAACGTCCATTCTCTGATGAGCTGAAAAAGATGATGTATGTAGACAACTTATGGACTAATCTACAGCCCTTATTTCAAAATTATAATGACGTCTGTGAACTCAGATGGTTTTCGAAGATGCAAGAAACTCCAAACTGTTTGGTGCTGAGCGAACGTTTGGAGAGACACCGAAGTAATTATTCATTTTCCTCTCAATGGGAGATTCAAGTAAATTGTAAGCAGATGAATATTTCTATATTTATTTCTCTAACGAAAGCACTTCCCCAGGAAGAACACCTACTCTCTTTCCTGAACGGACTGATTTTACTAACAATGAGTAGTGATAGAACCAATAGGTGAAAAGGATTCCTCGACAAATTAATTTGACAGCTGCAGCTTGACATTGCAGCAGTATTAAAGTAGCTTAAGATAAGTTTGGAACAGTTGAAGATGAAGCAGTGAGGGATGTATTTTTCCCTTATCTATGAAATTTACGGGTGAAGGTGGTGTAGTGGCAAGTACATAGCGCACTGTCACCCACGCACGATCACCGGTTCGAATCCCGGCTCGATATTAGCCTAGGCCAACCAAGCAT